TCTGTCAAGAATGTAGTACATGTTTAATAAACACTACTAATACTGATGTTATTATTTCTATATTATCAACCATTGTAAGCAGAAATTTATGTTTGTCTCTCTAATATCCATTAGACTCTTTCTTTTTACATGAGCTGCAATTTTGTTTAAGTATTTATACCTCAGGGAGGGTGACCCTCTCCCCAGCTCAGGCTAACTCCTGACAGATGTTAGACGATTCTAGTAGTCCCAGTGACTGTGATGCACATGGCAAGGAAGCAGGATCTGGCTGATAAGACATGAGAGAGGTCTGCCAAGGCGGGAGGTGGGAAGGACAGTCTGGGGAAGATTTCTTTGCTTTTCCAAAGAGACACATGGGACAAGATGACCTTTCCTATGCTAGACGTGTGTCCAGATGTAACCTTGGAATTGTGGCAGTATCCTGTGACCATGAGGGGCACCACTTCTGAGGACAAACGCATTCCCCGTCGGGGGGTGGAATCATTGAACTAGCCAACTATGGAAGAGCCACCTTCTCTCCGGATTTCTTGCTGAGATAAATAAATGTTCTTGTTGTTTAAACCACTTGACAGTGCTTTTCTATAGATGAAGGTAGCCTCATAAAACCAAAGCACAAAACAAACAGAAAATAGAAAGAAATCTTCTCCTGGTCTCAATGTTGCCTCTCAAGCCATCAAAGTTACCAGTGCCATGAGAACATGAATTATCCTCCCACTTTCTCCCGTCTAGTCTCCCCACATAGAAGATCCTCAAGTACTCATTAAGGAGGCAATAAGAGAATCAATGACCTCCCAGCGCCAAGGAAAGCTGCCCCTTGAGGGACCATGGACCCCATGCTTTCCTTTCCTACGCGGGTAGCAATCACCTCCCTCCTGACTCTGATCAGCCTCTGGAAAGCAAGGAGAGCACCATGGGAGAACCACGCCAGGTTCAGAGAGAACGGGGAGAGCAGACCTGGAGCCCAAGAGCCTGCAGCCAGGGAAGAGGAGGCAGAGGCACAAGCAAGGTCTGCTGATGGGATTACCCCGGGGCCCTTTTTTAGGCTGAAAGTAGATCAAAGGTGTGAAAGCCATTCAGAGCCAGGGCTAGATTATCTCCCAATTCAGAAAGGACTCGACAATGAAACACATGCCAATGCAGGCTGGTTTTGAAACCAACTTTTAGTCTACACTTCTGTGTGGGAGTTCACTGACCTTTTTCCATTTGAATGCACATAATGTCAGATAAATCTAGCCGTCTGCCTGAAACACCTAGTAGCAAAAGGCGTATTTGTCCCACAGGTTGAATTCTCATCTCAGAGTAATTTCCACAATTTCTTTTGGGCTTGGAGGTGGTATTCCAAGCACTGTCATAGCTTGTGTTTGCTTGAATTTATTTTTCTTGCTCCATATATCAGTTACAGGCAGGCAGAGGATTTTTGTTTTTTCTCAGTCGGCAGACCTCAGATTCCAAACCCCAGATACTAACTTTAAATACGTAACTGAAATAAGATTGGGCTTCTTAGTCTTTCTGTCTCTGTCTACATTTCTCTGACCTGAAAGCAAGTAATTGTCCAGCTACTTAACAAAAAATATAAAGGAAAAACAAACAAACAAACAAAAAAACCCTGGTTGGTGTGGCTCAGTTGGTTAGGCATCGTCCTGTGCACCATCCCTGGTAGGAGATGTGCAGGAGGTGGCAGATTGATGTTTCGCTCTCACATTGATGTTTCTCTCTCTCTCCCTCTCCCTTCCTCTCTCTCTCAAAATCAATAAAAATATTTTTAAAAAAGGAAAATAGAACAACTACCACCACCAAACAAAAACCCTAAACCTAACTCAAAAGCATTGAGAGGTAATATTAAATATTAAATTCCTTTTAAAAATATAATACAAAAGATATTTGTACTGGAATAAATTAAGACAATTCAGAAGCACTGAATGGAAGCATTGACTAAAAAGTGAAAGTTCCTCACCACTGTGCTCCAGCTATTAAGAGTCTAGATGTACATCTTTCCAGATAATTCTCTTTGCACTTACATAGGTATGTTAGGTGGGAAATGTTTATCAGAGGGGAATTATAGGAGTATTCAGAGTTTGTGGTGGGGGGGTGCAGCATCAAGTTTAGCTTGTGTACATAAGTTCAACCAGACCTTTAAAGAGATAAGTTAAAACAAGGGGAGAACACAACCAAAGAATAGTTTGCATTTTTTAAAGCTACAAATGTTAAGATAAACAGAAGCAAAAAAGAGATCTGACCAAATAGAATTAAAACTCTTAGTCAGAAGAGTAATCTGCATAAGGCATTTTCCATTGCCCCAACTATGGGACCCCAAGTTTAAGGTAATGGTATTCAAGTCAGATAGACCACATATGAGTGTATGAACAGCAGTTGGGAAAGGGACCTGGCTACAGAATTCAGGAAGGTTTACTTTGGTGGGTGTTCTAGGGAGGAGTTTGGTATGGGCTTATGTAATACACACAAAAATTAACAGCAGGAGAGAGCAGGATAGAATGAGTCTAAGAGAGAAGACATGTGACACTGGTCTGCCTGCTCTAGTGAGCTTCTAGGTACTGCTGACTTATTTCCCTGCAAACTTGGGTCACGTTGGCATTAAGTCACACACAGGTGGTTGCATATCTGTCTCAAGGACTGGCAGAAGTTGTTTATTCTCCTGCTGGCCCAGGTAATGGTTCAGACGACTGTGTGTGTGTGTGTGTGTGTGTGTGTGTGTGTGTTCCCTTTATTTCCTTTCTTTTGGGAAAATTGCTTATAGGAAGTTTGACCGACTAAAAAGTGTCCACTTACTTATTCTTTTATCTCTTCCTCTTCATTTGGTCTACAACACAGATATGATGTTTGAGCTCCAGAAGCTGTCTTCTACCCTGAAGTGACCGTGAAGACAGAAGTCACCAGCTGGTGTTGAACAGAGAGTGTTGTCAGGAGCCTGTGCTCACGAGGGTTCTGGAACTCCCACATCTGTTTCGGACGGTCTGCCTCTGTTGGTATTCTGCTGTCCTGTAATGTACTTAACTATTTAACTCACTGTCACTTCAGTTTTCTGTTATATGAAGCCCGACTTAATCTTTATACATCATGCTGTCTTCTTTTGGCTTCTTTTCCTTTCTTGTGTTTTGTTGGATGAAGGTTTGTTGTTATTTTAATTGGGGAGTGTTCTATTTTCTTTCTCTCTAATAATTTTGAAGTTGTATACCCTATTTCTGTCCTTAACTATTTAACATTATGAATATTTAAAATTTTTTTCCTTTATTGATTTTAGAGAGAGAGGAAGTGAGAGGGAGAGAGAGATAGAAACATGGATGAGAGAGAACATCGATTGGCCGCCTCCTGCATGCCCCCCACTGGGGATTGGGCCCACAACCTGGGCATGTGCCCTGACCGGGAATCGAACCAGTGACTTCTTGGTGCATGGGTGGACACTAAACCACTGAGCCACAACAGCTGGACACATTATGAATATTTTAAAGCACATGTTGTAGCTATGTTTTTATCTTCTTGTTTAGAATTAATTTATTTCTTTATCTTTTCACTGAACAGGTAAGAAACAGATCATTAACTGACTTGCCTCCTCACCCAGTTCTTCATTTATCACTTTTAAAAATCCATTTTATGCATTTATTTTTCAGTAAGTTTAAATCCTTGAGCATTAGTCGAATTCTGTGTCCAACGGGCTCAGCAGGAAGGCTGCTTCGGATTCGGCTCGATCCGCGGCACTGTTTCGACCCATGAGCACGGTTTCCCTTCCCCAGAGGACTGGTTTCCTTCGGTTTGCCACCAGGAGTCACTGTGCTGTTCTTTGCTTTGTACACATAAGCACATCTCTTGCCTCCATAGAATTCAGTTTCATCTCGAGCATAAACACCTTCAATTTGTTGTTTTTAAATCCTCACCCAAGGATATTTTTCCATTTATTTTCAGACAGAGGGGAAAGAGGGAGGGAGAGAGGCAGGGGTGGGGGTGGGGGAGACACTGATGGGAGAGAGACATTGATTAGTTGCCTCCCTCACAATCCCGACCAGGGCCAGGGACCAAACCACATCCGAGGTACATGCCCTTGACCAGAATTGAACTCATGACTCTTTGGTCCGTGGGCCAACACTCTAGCCACTGAGCCAAACTGGCCAGGGCAACACCTTCAATTTTAAGAAGAGCTGTGTGCTCCCTCTGGTTCTGGAGACCCCTCCTATAGCCGGCAAAAATGGCCTTGGACCACAGCCCTCCAGACACATTTGTCACTATAGAAGTCCTGTTCCCAGCAGCACCCCCCCGCCCCCCACCTCCCAGCTTCCAGATGCAGGAAAAGAAAGGCCTCCAATGATCACCCTTAATTCTTTTTGTTTGAAACCACTTTACTGAGATATGTCTATCATCAGAAAAGCTGAATGTATTTAATGTCTAACCTCTAAGTTTGGGGATAAGTATACTTGTTCATTTTAAATTCTCAAATATTAAGACTCTCCTAGTATTATTATAAAGTTTTATTTTTAAACATATATTTTAGGATATTTTAAGGGATTATAATGAATTGGTAAACAGGTATTCTCATTCTACCCTCTTGATTTAATCTACACATAATCACATAATAAAATAGTTATTTAAAATGCACCGAAATAGTAGAGGACAGAGTTAAAACCACATTTCAAAGTTTTTAAAAAACTTTCTCCCAATCCTTTTTTATTTATTTTTATTTTTTCAAATGAGTTTGTTTAATTCCAGGTGGTACAGAATTCCAAACAGAACAGAGACTGACGAACACACGTGGGCAGGATCCTGGGCTGGGTTTCCTCTGACCTCACAGCGAAGGTTGAAATGACAGAGAAGAACTGAAGAGATGAGCCCCTGCATGATTATTATTATTACTATTATTTTTTTTTTACATAAATTTATTCTTAAATGTACAACAGGCTCCAAGACAACACCTCATTCTAGCTATAGATGGCAAGAGAAATCATGGCAGAGAATCCAGATGCTAAAAAAAAGAAAAGGACTTAAGGATCACCATTGCCCCAGGCACAAGGAACAGCTCACTTTTCCCCAGATTTCTTAATTCCACCTGTGGCCAGGGGGCACCTCCCCGCAGCCTTCGCTTTTAGCTCCTCGAGTTTCTTCTGCTCCTCTTTCTGCTTCTGCTCAAATGCCTCCTCTTCCTCGTCCATCTCCTTGGCCTGCTCCTTGGGCTGCTTCAGGGGCTGCTTCTTGCCACCCTCACGTCCAGATGTGGTGCCTACCGTCCCTTCCCCAGACCCTGCCACCGGAAGCTCCCAATCCTTTTTTATCCAACTCATCAAAATTTCTTCAGCAGTTGTGCAGATGTATCTATTCCCCCTCCCTCCGTCTCTCTCCTCCTCTCTCTCTTCCCCACCTCTCTCCCCCTCAGAAAATGTTGCTCCTCGATGCTCCCTCATGCTGCTCCCCTCTGACCTTTTCATTATGTCTACAGCCCTCTCGAAACTTCCCACGTTTATAGCTCTACTCGTGAACGTATTCACCACCACAAAAAGGCTTCATGGCCAAGCGATGTACATAAAGGATTCTCCCAACTCAGAAAACTTGGGAAGGGTATTGTAACTGCCTAAGATTTAACATATATTTGTAAGTCACATGCTGTAAACACAATGAATTAGAGAAACAGCAGCCTCATAGAGTGCTATTTTCCATTCTCATGTAAAACAAAGAATTAAACCCTACTTTATCTGTTATAAATCTTTATTCCATGGGTTGTGTTTTCTTTAAATACACCTGCGTCAAATAAATGATTAAGACATGGAAAGCATTTTGTTTGGAGAGAGTCTGCAATCTGTAGTTAAATACACAGATGAAATAATTCAGAATATGGGAATAAGGCAAGTATATATCCATTCACTTACCATGTTTAGCCCATATCAACAAAACCCAACCAGTGTGACTATCAAAGGTAACAAGGCATACAACTTGTAAACAAAAACTGTGACTTGCAGTCAATATTATATGTACAGACCAGTTCAACATAATTATGAATATTGGACATGTTGTCATTCCAAAAATAAAAAATAAAACAGTTGGTAGTATGCTAGGAAATACCTTTCCAAATATAAAAACAGAACTAAATGCTATGATAGAAAAGATTTCAGAGTTTAAGTATCTAAGAAATTGCTCTTTGAAATATAAAAATTGATATCTGGACCACTCTAGGGAACTGCTTTGACGTCTCCTGAAATGGAGATGTCAGTGATAAGACCACTGCTAAATAATGAGGAAGAATGAATGAAGTGGCAACTAAGAAGTCATTAGACCTAGAGGAGAAAGTTGCATGTACAATCAGACACAATTTGCTTTCCTGTTTTACCTGTGCCAGCCACGTGCCAGATGGAGGGCCCCAAGCACAGGCTGGCATGTCATAACAAACTGCGATCATTGTGATGGCAAAGACTATGCTTCCCTCATGTCTGCACAGTAATGCCAAATGTTTGATATTCAAGAAAGAGATGTCAAGATGCCCAACACACTGACTGCTTCATGATTTACTTGGAGTCAGTCTGGTGTGGCTAATAAATACTAGCATCTCCAAGAAGAAATAGAGAGTTATGCTATAGTCAAACCTAATTTTAGAGGTAAGCAAGAGCAAGTATAATGTTTGCATCTATGATTTGTTCTCACAATGGTGGCATGGCAGGAATCTCTTGCTTGTGTGTGTGCATCATGTTTTCACGTTGGTATGCACACCAGAGCCTGAATTCAGCTTAAATTGAGGCTTTCCTGGAAATTTGATTTTACCCCAAATGTCTGCCAAAAACCTGGCAGTTGTGTGTACTGTACTGTGAGAGCCTTGAGGAGGAAATTGGGGAATAAAAATCCATTCCTTATTCATAGCAGGATTGTATTTAGGACTATCTCCCTTGTGCTAGCTTTTCTTCCTTGTAAAAGTAAAAGATCATAGGAGATCTGAGATAAAAGGGGGAGAGTAAACTAAAAGATAAAGTTCTACAAGGAAACTAGATGAAACAGTGAATCCGATCATGCACCACGTAACGATGTTTGGTGGACCACGTATACAGCAGCTGTCCCATAAGACTATGATTGAGCTGAAAAATTCCCACCGCCTAGTGATGTGGTAGCTGTAGCAACATCTTAGTGCTTTCTGAAAATAGTACTTTGTCAAGAAAAGCCTCAGGCAGGCCCTTCAGGAGGCGTTCCAGAAGGAGGTATTGTTATCATAGGAGATGACAGCTATTATTGCCCCTAAAGACCTTCCAGTAGGAAAGACGGAGAAGTGGAACACAGTGATATTGATGATCTTGACCTGCATAGGCTCAGGCCAGTGCGTGTGTTTGTGTCTTAGTGCTTAACCAAAAAGTTTAAAAGGTGAAAGAGAAAGAAAACGTATAAATAGAAGAAGGCTTATAGAATAACAATATAAAGAAGGACAACATTTTTGTACAGATGTACAATGTGTTTGTGTTAAGTGCTATTGCAAGAGTTAAAAACTTAAAAATATTAAAATGTTTATAAAGTAAAAAAGTTATAGTAAGCTAAAGTTAACTTAATATTGAAGGAGAAGAAAAAATATTTAATAAATTGAGTGCAGCCTAAGGGATCAGTGCTCAGAGCCTACAGCAGTGGACAGTCATGTCCGAGGCTTGACGCTCACTCACCAGTCACTCACCGGCTCACCCACAGCATCCAGTCCTGCAGCTCCATTCCTGGTAAAGGCCCTACACAGGTGCATCATTTATTATCTTTTACACAATATTTTCACTGTCTCTTTTCTATTCTTAGATATGTTTAAATACACAAATATTTGCCGTTGCTTTAGAATTGTCTGTAGTAGTCAGCTCAGGAACATGCTGCACAGGTTTGTAGCCTAGGCGCATGTAGGCTATACCATCTAGGTTTGTGTAAGCACACTCTGTGATGTGTGCACAAGACACAACTGCCTGGCAACGCATTTCTCAGACACTTCCCTGTCATTAAGTGACACATGACTATAAAATGCTATGGTCAAATCCATTAAGCCAACAACCCAGAATAGAAATAAACCCACAAACTTAAGGGGCATATGAGACCAGCTATCTGAATCAAAATGGCTCAAAGTAGCTGATACATCCCTAGGGCAAGAGGTACCAAGGACAAGAGAGGAAAATCTTACAGGACACTATTGGAGATGAAACTTCTCCAAGATCAAGGTCCCCTTAACCCTTTCCATAGGACTGGCCCCTTTGATAGTCTGGGTTCCTGGAAAAGTGTACATGTGCACAATGTTTTGCCTGTATTTTAGGGAGCTGCTGTGTCCCTGGAAGCTCATCTGTGAACTCGTTAAAAAGCCTTGGGCCTCCCCTTTTAACAGGCTGACCGAGTCAAGTCCCCTGCACTGTGTCACACCAAGCAGGCGTCTTTCCTTGTGACCTCTCCCCTCATGGTACCAGGAGGCACCTGCCACTTCTAGGAGTGAATCCTTTGCTGATTTTATCCCTGCTTACAATTCAAGGGGCAGGCAACAGAGGAGTCCCACACATTTAATAAATTCATGAAATGAACACAACCTTAAACTCCAAAAATCATGAACAACTCCTCCTAGGAGGGGAAAACTGCCACCACTGGTAACCACTTTTTTTTTTTTTTACCCCACTATGAACTTAAAAAAAAATCACTATAAACTTCTTTTGCTGCATTCCATAATTTTCATTTTTATTTGTCTCAAGATTTTAAAAAAAATTTTGCTTTGAGTTAAAACAACAATGAGTTATCACCTCACACCTGTCAGAATGGCCGCCATCAACAAATCATCAAACAACAAGAGTTGGCGAGCGTGTGGAGAAAAGGGGACTCTAGTGCACTGCTGGTGGGAATGCAGACTGGTGCAGCCACTATGGAAAACAATATGGTGTTACCGCAAAAAATTAAAAATTGAACTTCCATTTGACCCAGTGATCCCACTTCTAGGAATATACCCCAAGAAGCCTGAAACACCAATCAGAAAGAATATATGTACCCCCATGTTCATAGCAGCACTATTTACAATAGCTAAGATCTAGAAACAGCCCAAATGTCCATCAGTAGACGAATGAATAAAAAAGCAGTGCTACAGCCCTGGCCGGTTTGGCTCAGCAGTTAGAGAGTCGGCCTGCGGTCCTGAGAGACCCGGGTTCGGTTCCCGCTAAGGGCATGTACCTCGGTTGCAGTTTGTCCCCGGCCCTGGTCGGTCGTGCGGGTGGCAGCCACTCGATGTGTTCCTTTCACATCGATGTTTCTCTCTCTCTCTCTCTGTTCCTCTCTCTCCCTCCCTGAACAATTTTTTGTTCTACCTGAACAAAAAAATAGGAAAATGTCCTTGGGTGAGGATAAAAAAAAAAGCAGTGGTACATATACACAATGGAGTACTATGCAGCTGTAAGAAAGAAAGATCTCTTGTCCTTTGGACAACATGGAGGGACCTGGAAAGTATTATCCTAAGTAAAACAAGCCAAACAGAGAAAGACAAGTATCATATGGTCTTACTTATCTGTGGAATATAATGAACATAACAGTCTGAGGAATGGAGTAGTCCCAGAGACATGGAAGTGGGGTACAGACTGACAATCCCCAGAAGAGGGGGTGGTGGGGGACAGATAAACCATAGAATTTATATGCATGTATGCATGAACAATGACATGGACAACAAAGCTGGGGACAGGGCGGGGAGGGAGGGAGAGGGGGAATCAGTGGGGGGGGGGGAGAAACAACTGTAACAAAAATAAATAAATTAATTAGTAAAATAAATAAATCAATAAATAAAATCAGCCAAAAAAAAAAAAATTTGGTTTGGTTTTCTCTTTGGCCCAATGGTTGTTCAAGATTGTGTTGTATAGTTTCCATGTATTTGTGAGTTTTTCCATTTTCTTTACTGTTACTGATTTTTAGTTTTATTTCATCTTCTTAAATTTGTTGTTGTTGTTAATCCTCACATGAGGATATTTTTTCCATTGATTTTTAGAAAGATGAAAGGGGCGGGGAGGGGAGGCGCACATTCATGACTGGAACCGGGGATCCAGGCCTTTGACCGGGAATTGAACCCTCAAACCACGGGTCAATTCTCTAACCGCTGAGCCAAACTGGCCAGGGCTCTTCTTAAATTTGTTAAGACCTAACAATGTCATCTATCCTGGATAATGTTTTGTGTGTACTGAAGTAGAATTAGTTAAATCAATTAAAAGTAAATAAGAGAATGCCCATATCCACTTAGCTGAGCTCATTGCCCTAATTAGAATGTATTTTCTATGGGAGCGGGAATGTTGAGGTGGGTGTCTCAATGACCCAAAATGGGGTCTGG